TGGGAACTATGTGTTCTCTGAAGAGTTGGGAAACCTGGAAGCCCCTTGGCACCATTTTATTATTTCCTTTATTAAGTTTTTTCATTTTAAGTCCAGTATTGTTAATAATAGTGTTGTATTTGTTTCAGGCGTACAAAACTGATTCAACAACTCTATACATTTCTCAGTGCTCATCATAAGTGTACTCTTTAATCCCCTTCACCTATTTCACCCATCCTCCTGCCCACCTCCCCTCCATTAACCACCTCTTTGTTCTCTGTAGTTAGGAGTTTGTGTCTTGGTTTCTCTCTCTCTCTCTCTCTCTCTCTCTCTCTCCCCCTCTCTCTCTCATTTTCCCTGTTCATTGGTTTTGTTTCTTAAATTCCACATATGAGTGAAATCATGTGGTATTTGTCTTTCTCTGACTGACTTTCACTTAGCATTATGCCCTCTAGCTCCATCCATTCTATTGCAAATGGCAAGATTCATTCCTTTTTGTGGCTGAATAATATTCCATTGTTTATATGTACCGCTTCTTCTTTATCCATTAATCTATCAATGGATACTTGGGCTGGTTCCATAATTTGGCTATTGTAGATAATTCTGCAATAATCAAAGAGGTGCCATGTATCCTTTTGGGTTAATGTTTCTGTATTTTGGGGGTAAATATCCAGTAGTGTGATTATCGAATCATACGGTAATTCTGTTTCTAACTTTTTTGAGGAAACTCCATACTGTTTTCCATAATGGCTGCACCAGTTTACATCCCCACCAACAGTGCAAAAGTGTTTCTTTTTCTCCACATCCTCACCAACACATGTTGTTTCTTGTGTTTTTTATGTTAGCCATTCTGACAGGTATGAGGCAATATCTCATTGTGGTTTTGATTTTCATTTCCCTGATGATGAGTGATGATGAGCATATTTTCATGTGTCTGTTAGCCACCTGGATGTCTTCTTTGGATAAATGTTGATGTCTTCTGCCCAGTTTTTAATAGGAGTATTTATTTTTTGGGTGTTGAGTTCTATCAGTTTTTTATAAATTTTGGGTACTAACCCTTTTTTAAGATATATCCTTTGCAAATATCTTCTCCCATTCAGTAGATTGCCTTTTAGTTTTTCTATTTGTTTCCTTTACTGTGCAGAAGCTTTTTTTTTTGATGTAGTCCCAACAGTTTATTTTTGTTTTTGTTTTCCTGGCTTCAGGAGCCCTATCCAGAAAATTATTGTCATGGCCTATGTCAGAAAAATTACCTGTATTCTCTTCTAGGATTTTTATTATTTAAGGTCTCACATTTATGTCTTTAATCCATTTTGAATTTATTTTTGTATGGTATAAGAAAGTGGTCCAATTTAATTCTTTTGCATGTAGCTGTCCAGTTTTCCTAGCACCGTTTGTTGAAGAGAATTTTTCTCATTGTATATTCTTTCCTCCTTTGTTGAATATTAATTGACCATATAATTGTGGGTTTGTTTCTGGCTCTCTATTCTGTTCTGTTGATCTATGTGTCTGTTTTTGTGCCAGTACCATACTGTTTTGTTTACTACAGCTTTGTGATAGAACTTGAAGTCTAGAATGGTGATACCTCCAGTTTTGTTTTTCTTTTTCAAGATTGCTTTGGCTATTCAGGGTATTTCATGGTTCCCTACAAATTTTAGTATTGTTTGTTCTAGTTCTGTGGAAAATGCTGTTGGTATTTTGATAGGGATTGCATTAAATCTGTAGATTGCTTTGGGTAGTAAGGACATTTTAACAATATCCGTTCTTCCAAACCATGAGCATGGAATGTTTTTCCATTTCTTTGCATTGTCTTCAATTTCTTTCATCAGTTTTATAGTTTTCAGAGTACAAGTCTTTCACCTCTTCAGTAAAGTTTATTCCTACATGTTTTACTATTTGGCAATTGCCGATGAGATTATTTTCTTAATTTCACTTTCCGCTGCTTCATTATTAGTATATAGAAATGCAACAAATTTCCGTACATTTGTTCTATATCATGCAACTTTACTGAATTATTTCATCAGTTCTAGAAGTTTTTTTTGGTGGAGTCTTTAGGGCTTTCCCCTTGACATCATTTTAAAGGCCTGTGGTTTATGATGAAATTTTTTATAATTGTGTTCCTAAGATACCAAGAGCCTTGCTATATATAGGAAGGATCATGTAAAACTTCAAAACATTAGGCTGTATCTGATATTGGCAATTTTACACGTTTAATCTCTATAGGTGGCATATGGCTATGAATTTGGCCAATTGAACTTTATGCTAAAAATCATGCCTTAAAACTTTTCCAATCTTTATATTTCTCATCCTACTTGATAACATACTTTCATTTTTGAATCTCCAACCCCCTACCCCTCAAAATAGGTTATCAGGCAGACCATTTGTTCCCTTCAATTCTATTTTTAGAGTGGATTTCCTTTGGACAGGGTCAATAGAGCAGCTGCCAGAGCTGATGTCTATTCATCTGTGGCAAAAAAAAAAAGAAAGAAAATAAAAGAAAAAAGAAGAAGAAGGAGAAGAAAAAGAAAAGAAAAGAAATAAATAAAAACCTTCACAAATGAGGGGACACCAATGCCCTCCCTGAGCCACTCCAAATTCAGCTCTAAGTGATGAGCCCTGCTGGTCAAGAGATGCAGAGTGCTTTTCTCCTGAACCAGTAGGTGCTGGATTGAGGAATATGTATAATATATATGTGGGTATAAAACAACGAAGAGGACTAGCAGTTAGTATTAAATATTACTTTTTGAGGATACATCATCAGAAAGTATTAAAGAATAGAAGGGAGGAATTTACCTATGCTTTGTGCTAGGTTGAATCAAGGAGGAGTCAAATATATGTTCTGCTCTCAAGGAGTTAATGGGTTGAGACACAAAGTAGCAAGTGATGAATTTTACAATATAACACCTAAGATTTATTTTTTTAAGTTTATTTATTTTTGAGAGATAGAGTACAAGTCAGGGAGGGGCAGAGAGAGAGAGGAAGAGAGAGAGAGAGAGAGAGAGAGAGAGAGAGAGAGAGAGAATCCCAAGTAGGGATTCAACGCAGGGCTCGAACTCATGAACCATGAGATCATGACCTGAGCAAAAGTCAGACGCTTAACCTACTGAGCCCCCCATAACACCTAATATTTTTGCATGCTTACCATGTGCTTTAACCTACTTCAGCTCACCTCCCAATCACTCTGTGAAGCAGGTTGCTGGGAAAACGGACAAGAACAGCAAGAATCAAGCAGTTACCAATAGATTAAGTGACATTATAAATGTGAAATTTTGTTTCTTCGTTTCCAAGTCACAGACTGTGTGAAGTAAATTTCAATACTAGCTAGATGGGAGCTCAGGAGAGGAAGACATGTGCTCCACTTGCTGGGTGTTCTGTAACCCAACCTGCTCCTTCCCCCTGCCAGCCGCAGCCCCAGCAGGTCGACTGTGCCCCTGTGGCCAACCCACAGGATCCAAGACCATTCTGGGCACTTCCCTCAAATGGCCATGAGCAGCGCGTCGGTTTGAGTTTCTGAGATGAGGGACAGAAGTAAAGGCCCAATCTGGAGCCAGAAAGGCAGGTAGCCAGCAAAGGTTGCTTCATACGAGGTAAATGTTTAGCTCCAATTCAAAGTCCACAGTGAGCTATTTTTACCCCTGGCTACCTTAAAGGAACCTCATTTCTTCCCAGAGAGTAACTCAGGCATGGAGAATCTGGCCCACCTAATGTAACCTCAAATTATATTAAAATGCTTTCAATTCATGAATGGCTTCAGGGCAGAGTCTCTCAAATAATGAATCCATCCATATGCCTCCTCTCTATGGACGGTATTATTTTTAGATTTTGCTTCCCATGTAAACCTGAGCGATAAATTAGGGGCAGAGACCCTGCCTGTGGTCCTCAGTATCCCCCAAGGCACATGGCCGTGCTGGGACACATAACACAAGTTCAATGCATCTTGGCAGCATTTATTGCAAAGACGTAAATCTTAATTTATTATGGTGTGCCCTCTTGTTAAGAGGGGAATCAAAGACACTAGTGTGGAGGACGTATTCGATTTTTCCTGGTTGGCAGGCAGAGAGTGAAAATTTCCCTTTACGCTCTCCCTTCACACATTCCCCTCCCCCAGAGCCTGCCATCTGTTCTGGAATATCATCATTCATGCAGGGTTACCCCTAGCGAGCCTTTTTAGACAGTGTTTTGTCATGAACTATAAGTAGTAGTGATTCAAAACAGAGATTAGAGATGAATTTACTCCTCATCCTTTCCTTTGCCCTGAGCAGTACTATACAGAAACACAGTACTTGGTTATACAGCTGAAGAACACCCAAAAGAAGTCCTTTTAAAGTCTTGCAGCCAGCGTATGGACCTCACCCACCAACAGCACCACACACACCATTCATGAAGTCTTTGTTGAGCACCCTGCATGGGCAGGCCCTTGTGGGAGGCACAGGATGAGTAAAATACAGACATTTCTCCATGGAAGTTACAAAACAACATGGGAAATGAACCACATAATTGTAATATGAAGCGGGTCATGATAAAGTGCTGAGAGAAAGATACACACACAGTCATATTGAATAGGATATAGGAGTTCTTGCAAGAGAGCAATTCCTGTGTTTAGGAATCAAGGGAGAGAATACCTTAAAGACATGTGAGCCAGACCAATGCATAAGGTAGGATTTAGTCATGTGTGGTCAGGCCCTAGCAGGGAACAGCAGAAGTAGAGGCATAAGGACGTGTTCAGGAAACAGTGAGCAAGTAATTCGGTTTCATCAGTATGGGGGGCCATCAAGGGGACTAAGAGGAAATAAAAGTTAGACTCCTGTCAGATCAGGAACTATGTCAAATTACAGACTACAAAGTTAGACTTACTCCATGGGAAAGTTTTTTTTGTGCTCAGCAGTGACAGTCAAACTGTGTTTGAAGAAGTCCAAACCACTGCGGGCCCTTCCAGGAGGCGGAGGTGTGAACCTACCTCTGGGTCCTTCCCATATGGAGCCAGAGGGCAAAGGAGTTTCAGAGCATAGAACTAAATGGAGATGGGTACAGTGACATCTGGCAGGGCACATGGAAGATGTCTAGCCCAGCCCCATAGATACTGCAGCTCAATTTCACAGGTTAGCAAATGGAGGCATGAGAGACCATGCTGTCTAAGGCCAAGTAAACTGTTAACTACCAGAGGCAGGATTTGAACTCAGGTGGATGTGATTTCAAAGCTGGTATATTGGGGGACCTGGGTGGCTTAGTCAGCTAAGTGTCTGACTCTTGATTTCAGCTCAAGTCATAACCTCATGGTTCATGAGTTTGAGCCCCGCATGAAACTCTGCACTGATGGCGTGGAGCCTGCTTGGGATTCTCTCTCTCTCTCTCTCTCTCTCTCTCTCTCTCTCTCTCTCTCTGTGTCTCTCTCTCTGTCTCTCTCTCTGTCTCTCTCTCTCTTTCTCTGTCCCTCCCCCACCCTTCTCTCTCAAAAATAAATAAACATTTTTTTTTTAATGGTGGTATTCTTGCATTGTATCAGCCTTGACATCATTGCAGAAATGTTGACATCTCACTTGACAACACAGACATGCACTTTGATTCTCATGGCACCACTCCATTTCAGCAGCCAATCTTGGGGTCATGGTGGCAGAGGATTCAGAATGTTGGAAAATGTTACTGTAAAATGACAAGCTGGGTCTCAAGTTTGGTAAGGAGAAAAATATCCATAAAGGTGCCAAGCATCTATAAAAATGAGGAGTCCAGGGACCAGAAGATGAAAAAAGAAAAATAATAATTATAATAATAGTTAGCATTTTGGTAGGTGCTAGTCAATATTGAAACACTTTACATATATTATCTGAATTTTCACAGCAGCTGATCGAAATGGATGTAATTAATATCATCCCTGGCCCAGAGAGGTTCATTAACTTGCCTAAGTTCACATAGCCAAGAGAGGGGCAGAGGCAGGAAACAAATGCAGGTATTCCTGACTTTAGGGTCTGTGCATAGAACCTTCACAAAATGTCCCTTTGAACGATGTCAAGTAAATAAGGAAAAGACATTTCTTTAAAAATGAAATAAGACTCTTCAGGATTTGGGAGGTTTGTGCTTATTGGAAAATCATATAGCCTGTGGCTATCTAGAGATGACTTTTCCCAAGGTAACCATTCATTGTTTATGTTGGGTCAAAGTCTGCTTTCTTTAAATTTGCCTCCACACGAGAGAAGCAGGAACCCTCTTGAGCTGTTGGTGGAAATGCAAACTGGTGCAGCCGCTCTGGAACTCAGTGTGGAGGTTCCTCAAAAAATTAAAAATAGAACTACCCTACGACCCAGCAATAGCACTACTAGGAATTTATCCAAAGGATACAGGAGTGCTGATGCATAGGGGCACATGTACCCCAATGTTTATAGCAACGCTTTCAACGATAGCCAAATTATGGAAAGAGCCTAAATGTCCATCAATTGAAATGGATAAAGAAGATGTGGTTTGGCTTACATTATATGATGGAATGCTACTTGGCAATGAGAAAGAATGAAATCCTGCCATTTGCAGCAACATGGATGGAACTGGAGGGTATTATGCTAAGTGAAATAAGTCAGCCAGAGAAAGACAGACATCATATGTTTTCACTCATATGTAGAACTTGAGAAACTTAACAGAAGACCATGGGGGAAGGGAAGGGGAAAAAATACAGAAAGGGAGGGAGGCAAACCATAAGAGACTCTCAAATACAGAGAACAAACTGAGGGTTGAAGTGGGGGGGTGGAGAGGGGAAAGTGGGTGATGGGCATTGAGGAGGGATGGGATCATTGTTGGGATGAGCACTGGGTGTTGTGTGTAAGTGATGAATCAAGGGAATCTACCCCCAAAACCAAAAGCACACTGTATACACTCTATGTTAGCCAACTTGACAATAAATTATATTAAATAAATAAATGAATCTAAGCTAAATAAATAAATAAATAAATAAATAAATAAATAAATAAATTTGCCTCCACAAGCTTACCCCCACTGCCTCCCCTCCTCCAGGGCAGTAATGTTAATTCTGGCCACTGCTCATCCCCACGTGTTGCCCAGGTCCACCCCCTTCCTCTCTGTCCTGGAAACCAAGGAGTGCTGCTTCTGTCACTTTTGGGCTAGTAACAAAAAGACCGAGTTGCTTGAAGCAGGAGTTTCAAGGATACACTTAGACATCCCCCCTTTGTCTTCAGTAACAGCATTTTCCTCCCAGTGGATTCAAAGCTTTGAATTTGGAAAATTTCATCTCTCGTGGCATCTCTTTATTGTGGATAGGGATAGTTGTCACTTTGGGGGCATACTGGCTCTTAGTTCTTTATTTGTATTAGCTCATTTGTCCCCATAAATAACCTGATGAGATGATACTATCATTATTGTCAGTCTGCAAGTAAGGAAACAGATTCAGGGAAGTTCATTTATCTCCTGTTTCCTGGTCACTTGACCATTGGAAGCAGGCTGAATCTGTCTTCTTGACTCTGAGAGTTGAGGTAGGACTCATTTACCGTTTACTGGAGCCCTATTAAGCCCCATGATGCTGAATATTAACATGATTATATGTATTCTAGGGTGATGGTTGGTAGCCCCAGTTCTTGATGACATTCCAAAATGCGTGGAACCACATTTAAATCACCTTTAAAAGTCATAGTTGTAGACCTGAAGGCTTACAATCCATGTACCAGGGGCACCGTATTATGTGAGACAGGAAAACTGAACCATATCACTTGCCGACATAAGCAGCACAGTGTCCAAGCTGCCGTGTTGCAAAATCACATTACCTAAAACAGTCGCCACGGACAGGCAGTGATTTGTGGCTCCTGAACAGTACCTTAAATAGCAAGGTCCACGAGACATGTGGTTTAGATTTTTCTTTTTTAAATGTCCACATTCTTAGCAAATGGCCTTATCATATTGAGAACAACTAAGACATTGACCAAACTAGCAATGTTTGATTTTTATTTTTACTTGGTTATGGGCATAGGCGGAAAAAGCAATCTGTTCAGATGAGTAAACTGCTTTGCATACTCAGAAAGAAAAATTCAGACGAACAGAAAAGCAGTAACAACCTCCAATTTGTGAAATTCTCCTTCATGCAAAGTTAAATAACACTCTCTTAGTGCCTTCATCTGATTATTTCTTTAGTATAAATTCCTAGAAGTAGAACTGTTGTATCAAAGGATATTATAGGAAGCCTTATACAGTTGACCCTTGAGCAACGATTTGAACTGTGAGGATGCACTTTCATGCAGATTTAGCAGTATAGTACAGTACTGAAAATGGATTTTCCTTAAGGTTTGATGAACAACATTTTATTTTCTCTAGCTTACTTTATTGTAAGAAAACAATATATAATACATATAGCATGCGAAATATGTTAATTGACTGTTTTGTTATCTGTAAGGGTTCAGGTCAACAGTAGGCTATTAGTAGTTAAGTTTTGGGGGAGTCAAAAGTTATACTGGATTTTCAACTATGTGGGTGGTGGCACTCCTAACTTCCCCACCCCCCCACATTGTTCGAGAGTCAACCGCAATATACTTCGCCCAATTGTCCTCCAGAAACGTGTCTCCCGGCATTTCAGAAGAGCACTGTTTTCCCATGCTCACCCATGCTGGTATTATCCAGCTGTTTTTGAATTTTACCACTGGAAAGTGTTCAAAGTCTGCTTGGTCTATTTTACTTTACTCCTTGGGTCTGCCGTGTACACGGTCTAGCCCCACCTACAGCTCTGACTCCTTTTCGCACTCTAGCTCAATCATGTGCTCAGCTCCAGCTACAGGGGTCTCCTCGAATTTCCTCCAAGGTCTCCTGCCTTCACACAATCTTTGCACATGCTACTTCCTCCTTCTGGAATTTTTCTCCACAAGCTCTGCCTGGCAGACTCTTACTTTTCCCTCAGCTCTGCACTTGACTGTCCATCTCTCTCTCAGGAATGCCATCTGTCTTTCCCACATGAAGATCAGACATGCATGAAGCGCCTATCAAAGTACCTCTAAGTTGAAATTTAACCCACTATATGATTTACTTATTAAGATACTATCTCCACAACTAAAATGTAGCTTTATGAACACATGTCATTTTGTTGTTGCTGTTATCCACCGTATTCTTAGTCTATAAGTGCCTAGGGTGTGCTAGACACCCAACAAATAATATAAGTAAATAAGTGAATATTAAGAAATAAATAGAACTTACCTTCAAGCTGCTGTTACATAGGGAGTATAAGTTAAATTTCACTAAATAAACTGGTTGATGAAACCCTGAAGAGTCTTCTTACTTTCAGAGATTTTATCATGTAAAGAGTTCTCCCTTTAATTACTTGCTACTCTTCTAATTCCTCTTACTATATCCTTCTTTGATGTTAATCCCTAGACCTTTTCCCTTTTTTCCATTGCCCTCGCTCAACCCAACCATGGGTTCCTTCCTAACGCAATGACACATTCTGGGATTCCCACCCCAGTGACCAGGAATGACCTCTTACCAGAGTACTTGACCATCTTCCAGGCTTAGACACAACCTGTTACAGCCTGGAGTCCAAATAAAGAAAAAAATGGTGTGTGTGTGGAGTGCTGAGTGCATAGCACTAACCAACAAACCAACCCCCTCTTCTCCTTACCATCTTCTGAGTGATTTTCTGCCTAAGTGGTCACTTATTTGTGAAACCCTGGGCATGGCTTTGGTAGAAAGAGATGATGACTTAGATTTAGAAGCAATCCAATGGCTTCTTTTTATCATTTCTCCCATCAGAGTAGATCTGTTCAACACTAAACCACAAGTCAAGTTCATTATATATTTGGTATAACCTGAGAACCAACCATATTTTGAGGATTTATGTCAGGGGACTCAAACTAACTGCCTCTAGGCTGAATCAGACCCCGTAAAAAGTTTATATTTGTCCAGAACAGTGTTTAAGTGAATGTGAATGTCTGAGGCAAGGTGTAACCTCTCTAGCCTGCCATGGTGCCTCCACATCAATGTTGTCTTACAGAGTAACAAGTACACCCTTCCCACATGCACATTCACTGTTGGGAGCCCCTGGGATAGAATTCAGCAGATTATGGGACACCTGGGTGGCTCAGTCGGTTAAGCATCCAACTCTTAATCTCAGCTCGGGTCATGATCTCACAGTTCATGAGTTCAAGCCCCACATACGGCTCCACACTGATGGCACAGAGACTGCTTGGGATTCTGCCTCTCCTTCTCTCTGCCCCTCCCTGTTTGTGCTTTCTCTCTTTCTCTCGAAATAAATTAATTAAAATTAACTTAAAAAAAAGAACTCAGCAGATTGTACTCCTTTTTCCCACTGCTAATAATAATGACTACTCTTCCCATATACATATTTTCCTTTATTTGTTATTGTGAGATCTTCTTACATGTATCTGTTATTTTAAGAGGTCTTATAATATTTTCTTTCCCATCTTTCCTTCCACATTTCAACATACATTCCTTTCTACTGTTAACTGGGCCACAAAATCCAATTGTTTTGGACCCTGGCCCTGTCCATGGTTTTTGTAGAGAGGGTGCCAGATTGAATCATGAGATGTGGTTTTATTCTGGACTCTGCCCCGATAAGCTATGTGATGTTGGGCAAATCACCTTGAAGCTTCAGTCCCCACTTGCCCATCCCAAAGTGAAGAAATGGTAATAGATGATCTCACCTTCCTCTCAAATGTCACATGTTATACTTGTGTGATTTTTTTTGTCACAATCCAAATAGAAGAAAATATCAGGGGAAAAGAAACATCCACTTCATTTACTCAACAATTATTGGTTGAACAATGAGTAAGTGCTGGGAATAGTGGTGAATAAGACAGATGAAGTCACTGCCTCCGCTAGAAGGAGACAGTAAGCAAATAAACACCGAATGTCAGAGTACAATAAATGCTATAAAGGGAATGAAGCATGGTAATTTCATAAAAAGTGACTGAGTAGTGACTAAGGAGGCCAGGAAGGGCATCTCTAAGAAGATTACGTCTGTGCTGTGACCTGAGAGAGAAGAAGTGGTGAGCCACATGGGGAACCTTCAAGGCAGAGGAAACAGCAAGTGCAAAGGCCATGAGGCACATTTGAGGAACAAAAAGCAGGCCAATGTTTCCAAAGAGTATTGAGCCAAGGGATAGAAGGTACAAAAAGAGGTGAGGGAAGGGGAGGTCAAGTCATAAAGGGCCTTGTGGGCTCGGATGAGCAGAGTGCATGGAAGGGTTGTCAGTAGAGCAGTGTCCCAGGATGGTTCCTGAGGTTGCTGTGTGGGTGTAAGTGGAAACAGTGTGTGGGAGGCTAGTCTTTTCAACTGAAGCTGTCTGAGATAGTGGAGGTGGAGAAAGAAGAAAATCTGCTTATATTTTGGAGGTGGGCCTCACAGGACTTGCTGACACGCTATGGACATGCAGGTGGGCAGCAGTAATCCAGAATCGCCCTTGGGTTTTGGGATTGAGGGGCTGACTGGACACTGTGTCACATCACTTGTGTCAGTATACCCTCAGTCACAGGCATTAAGTCCAACAACCCTTCCAGTCTTCTAACATCTCCCTGCCCACCTCATAAACACTAGTAAAGACAAATTTGTTCTTCCATTCAGCACATATTTATTGATTGCCTGCTACAGGCTACTTTTAAAGTAACATGGCTATTTGGTTAATTTTAGTATGGTTGTTTGAAACAGCTTAAATTGGAGCCCACTTAATCAGTAATCTAAGCCACTGATGAAATGAATTCTTTTCTTAGCATTGGCAGGCTATTTGCAACAAATGAAGATGCCTTAGCTTCACGCCAGCTGTGAGCAAATAGTTTTGGTTCTCAATTTGTAATATTCTAGAAATTTGCAGGAGATAGCCAGGATAAGGTTTGGGAATGCCTTGTCCATGTCAAACTCTGTCCAGCTGCACAACTTAGCTCTCAACTGAAAATGTCGTTTTCTGAAGAGGAAAGGCCCACGTTCAAAGGACTCCTCTGGCATCTGTCATGGTGTCTGTCAGTGAGGGATGGACTCAGTCTGATCAGCTCCTTAGAACTGATTGTGGGTACAGGTCTGAGTATGCTCCACACAGTGTTTTTAAATATTCAAACCTTCACCTGAGATCACCACTTAGGACACCTCCAGTCATATGGAGTTAGGCTAATGAATTATCTGAGACCCTTCATAACTGAAGCAAAAGAAAAATGAAACCTGTTTACCTGGATTAAAAGAAAAAAAATGAAATATTCACCAACTCCTGACCAATTTGAGCCCTAAAACTCATAAACTTGGTTGTTTTATTCCACCCACACAAGAACCCTGACTTATTCAAGTGTATAAATATCCCTGCTCTCTTCGGATTATCATTTTAAGAGCCTTCAGATAAACAGGTGCAAAGTCATTGACTGAGTCTGGCTCACTTCCAAATGGAAAAAGCCTCATCTAGATTGTGAACATTTTCAGCTGCCATTTGTGGATATTTCTGCTCATTTCCACACCAGCAAGGGTGGAATCCCAAGCTCCTGTCCCAGGTTCACTGGTTGTAGCTGTACTGGAAAGTCATCTACTTTTCATTGCTTGAGTGGCTCACATAGGTTTCCGCACACACCCCAGATCTCACCTCCCAATACTTCCCTAATGATGGCTATTATACCAGAGTAATAGAGTATCAGGTAAATGTTTTTTTCCTATTGTACGGAATTTTGCTGAGGCCTAAAGGGGAAAAGACCCTACCACACCTAGCAGCTGGAGTCAGCCACTTCCCCCCGGGGTTGATGGAGAAGCACCAATTCAAGAACCAGAAGTTCTGCTCCCTAACTTACCCAACTCTACCCCCATTCATTATAAGATGACCAGGTGGGAGAAGGGAAGGTCGTCTCCTCTCCCCAGACTCTGGACAGGAAGGGAGGCTTGCCTCTCTTTTCCTCTGTTTAAATAGATCTGCCCCAGACTGAACAAAGGAAAGGAGACTGGAGAGAGATGACAGGGCTGAGGGGGGCAGTAGAGGGTACCCTGTACATCCACCATTTAGCATGAGTATCCCATGGAGGGAGGGGAGCATGGAAGGTCACGAGGACTGGCTGCCTCTCTGACAGCCCTCCCCAGAGAGAGCCACCTGCTGGATAAAGGATTGCTGCTCCTTCTTCCTGGAACACTGCTTTATGCAGGGCTCCTTCTGGTCATCCATTGCTCAGTTCAAACATCATCTCTTCAGAGAGGCCTTTGCCCTCTGGATCTTATGCTCCAGAGCAAAAGTATTCATTCAGTTGGGAGGAAATGTGGAGCATCTTGGAAAGTGCATCTTAGGTGTTCATTTTATCACCATAGATAGAGGTAGTCCTCCATAGACTCAGTTTTGTGGCCTAGAAAACATTGCTATTAGAATATCAGGCTTCCTCCAAGATGTCTGAGAAATAGGAGGGTAGAAAGTGACTAAGGTAAAGGAAGTACTTGTGGATATTTCAGTTAGAAGATTCAGGTAATTTCAATACTTAAGAAAGTAGAAAGGATTATTAGACAATTCATAGGTAAGAACATATCCATTCTCACCACCAGAGGTTTTGCATGTGGAGAAGGACAAGTGATATTTGCTGCCCCCCCTCCAATTTTTTCTTCTTACCAAGAAACTGAAATCACCTTTATCAGGATAAAATACTTTATTTTTTAAGTTTATTTATTTTTGAGAGAGAGCACACGTGAACACAGGGGAGGGGCAGAGAGAGGGAGAAAGAGAATTCCAAGCAGGTCCCACACTGTCAGCATGGAGCCCAACACAGGACTCAAACCCATGAACTGTGAGATCATGACCTGAGCTGAAACCAAGAGTTGGTCGCTTAACCAGCTGAGCCACCCAGGCACACCCCCAGGATGAAATACTTTTTAAAACTAGTTACTTTGTGTAGACAAGTGAAATGTCTGGTGTTTTTTGTCTGACTCTTTATGGACAAACTTGAGACTAAAATTTGTACTTTGAAGGTAAGCTTACCAGGCCCAACCCTCCAGGTGACATTGACTTTGTGCTACTATCATTTTAGTGTTTGGTGCCAGTTAAAGATTAGACAAGTCCCACTGAAGAAGACCTTTTCCATAAACTTTATCATCTCTCAACCACAGACATACAACTCTATGTCACATTAGTATTTTTTTCATGTCATGTTGCTGCCATCACGTAGTTACCACATTCCACAAATGTTAATCATTGTTTCTACAGACAATTTAAAACAGTTTAGGTATCACTTAGAATGTTTTGTGTTGGAAGTAAGAAGGCAAGCCATGTTCAATATGTAAAAATCACAGGAGTGTGTGTGGAAAACTTTTATATATTACATAGTTACAGAAACAGATTCAGTATGTATGTGCAAATATAGATTTGAAAATAATGCATACCGACATGTTCAAATGTGAACATTTTAACTGGACTTTGTGGGAGGGGTCAATATGATGTTTACTTTATATAATGCCTACTCTACAAGTAAGGCACATTTTAGTATTTTTTTAAATTCACTAACTTTTTCCCCCATATATTATTTTATATAGACTAAAAAGTAATCATCAATGATAAAGTACGGGATAAAGAACAGGAGTTAATCAGTTGCATGAGAGACTTAGAAAAAACACTTAGACTTTTGAGCATGTCTACCTAAATTTTTCAATAACTGGTTTCTTGGTTTGGCCCTTCTTAATACACATTCATCCAGGATTTAAGTTCTGTTTTGATGTGATAGCCAATTCTTATTGACTGAGTGGACTATTATTTTAATGTTGGCATTTACATTTTATTTGTAATACAAGTGAGGCCAAAAGAAGATTTGGATAGTACACACATAACTAATTTATTTAAAATGTATTTAGAATCTATCAGATTTTTCAAAAGCATTCTTTTTCTTTAAGTTAATTTATTTATCTTGAGAGAAAGAGAGAGAGAACAAGTAAAAGAGGAGCAGAGAGAGTGGGAGAGAGAGAGAATCCCAAGCAGGCTCCGCACTGCCAGCACAGAGACCGATGCAGGGCTGGAACTCACAAACCGTGAGATCATGACCTGAGCTGAAATTAAGAGTTGGACGCTTAACCAACTGAGCCACCCAGGTGCCCCTCTACAAAAGCATTCTTAAGCTCATTGCTGATGAACAGGGAAAATGTTGACTATCATACTTTTTGTCCCTTGCATGACAGCCATGCTAATATTTGTGTACAATGCAAACTACTAATTTGGCTGACGTTCCATGTTAAACAAATTAGATTATTTGGTGAGGTCACTCTCAGTCTAATGCCTGGTTAAATCCTACCCTACCCTGTGCTTCCTTATCCACTTTTCCTCTGTTTTCTTTTTCTACACAGCATTGACCACAATCTGATACATGATTTATATTTTTTAATTACTTGTCTTTCTCTCCCCTGCATGCTCTCCAGGAGGGCAGAGACTTTTGCTAGTTTTGTTCATTGCTTCCCCTGTTCCTAGAACAGCACCTGGCACAGAGCATTGGAGACAACCAACAAATAGTTGTTGAATTCATGAGAGATGCAATGAACATGGGCTTTATCACCAGGGGCAGGTTCATTACTGACTTGCCCTGCTTACCAGCTGCAATTTGGGAAAATTCTTATTTTTAAGTCATAAATAGATTTTTATTTCTCTGGTCTCTCTCTCTCTCTCTCTCTCTCTCTCTCTCTCTCTCTCACACACACACACACACACACACACACACACGTACACACACACACACACACACACACACACACCCCAATATATGCTCACTATGAAATATTCAGAAATACAGAAAAATATGGAAAGTGGTGAAAAATAATAATAATTACACCCCCCAGAAGTTGTTAAAAATTTTCATATATAGCCTCTGACCACCCGTGTTGATTTCCATTCATGGGATTGCAAACATAGCAGCCATTTGGTGGAACTGTTAGAGATAATGTGTAGAAAACAGCTGTGCCTCAGTGCTATTCTTTATCTGGACGGAATGCAAACATGTATTCACGTCCAGATGCATGGGGCACACTATTATTTTGAGACAAGTTCAAGAAAATTTAGCTCCAATTTCAGATATTGATAAGAATTAATATTATAGAAGACGGTCATCATTAGAGATCCCATCCCAAGAGATAACATCTAATGCTGATGGTAATAGTAAAGTAGGAGGAAGGGTCTTCTTACATCTTTAAAAGATAAATATATATTCCAGTAAATTAAACAAATATTTTTAAATGTTTACTATGTGCCTGGCTCTGTGTTTATTGCGTTCAGGTATCTTCGCATTTTAGCGTCACAATAACCATGTTACTATTATTATTCCCATTTTAAGAATGAAATGGAGGGGCCCCTGGGTGGCTCAGTTGGTTGAGTGTCCGACTTGGGCTCAGGTCATGATCTTGCAGTTCATGAGTTTGAGCCCCGCGTCGGGCTCTGTGCTGACAGCTCAGAGCCTGAAGCCTGCTTCGGATTCTGTGTCTCCCTCTCTCTCTGACCCTCCCCTGCTCATGCGCTCTCTCTCTCTCTCTCTCTCTCTCTCTCTCTCTCTCTCTCTCTCAAAACTAAATAAATAAATAAACACTAAAAAAAAATTTTTTTAAGAATGAAGTGGAGGTGTAAAGAGATAGTAAGCTGCCCAGGTCATAGGGCTTGAAACCAAGAAAACTAGAATGCAAATCCTGGATCTGGCTCCAGGGTCCTCATTCATAGAGCATTTCAGAACAGCATCCAGTGCAAACATGCAAAGGGGGCCTACATGCAATATAGAAGGATGCAAAATAAGAATAACATCCAGAGGATCAAGAGGATGTCGGTCATGAGGCATGAGCATTCTGTTCCACTCTGCTATCAACTTCCAACAGGATTCATCAGCTAGTTGGCTTTTATTGATATGAATCTGCCCTTTAAATCCCAATCATGACTAGACAAATGGATGAAAATACTGTTCTCTGGACTCTGAAGTTCAGTTTCAGACCTTGGACCCATAATGACTTTACTAAAGAGTGGGTCCCCACTGGGGCCAAGACAGGGCAGCCGCTCTATCTCAGCAGTGGCCTCAGTGCCACTGATAAGACATTCCATATTCTCCAGCTGGTTTTTGTTACCTGATAGGGAAATCAAGACAGGTGATTGGGAAATATGTATCTATGATCAAAAACATGTTATGCAGTGATTGGAATTAATTTCTGACATGTGAGTTCACCCTTAGTAAGCTAACAGAAGGTTCATTGGACTGGCTGGGCATGCGAAGGTCACACTGATGCCCAGTCTGGTTAGAAGCTGGAGGATCCTAGGAGAACTCCAAATGTTTCCTCCCCTAGCCTATTTTCACCCTCAAGCCTCTGAACACACATCCTATTGATTGCTTCTTGCTTCACCAAGATTCCAGAATCCTTATTTCTGACATTAGTCCAGGACCCTGCCTTCAGTTCCTCACGGCCTCCTTTGCTTGAATGCCCACTGTTAGTGTTCTTGAACTTGAGCCACACCTCACTGTACATAAATTCAGAAACTGGACTTCTTTTTTGACATTGCATACCCAGAAGGAAGAAATATTGTTGAAAGAAATAAAAGAACTTTGGCATCAGACTGATTGGACTTTAATTCAAGCCCCACATTCACTAGCCATGTAGACTTTGACTTCTCATCTTGAGAACAACATTTTTTGCCCCTGTGAAAATGGGGGAAATACCTCTTATCCTGCTCACTTGTTGGGACTAAATGAAACAGTGAATGAGCAAAGGTCTGTGGCAGTGCTGAGACATTTTAGGCTCTCGGTCTTCTTGGCCTCTTTTCTCAGAGCTGCTCGCATATTTTCTAGACCAGGGGTCCGCAAACCATTTCTGTGAGGGTCCAGCAAGTTAATATTTTAAACTTTTCTGGACAAACTCATTCACAGCTGATCACTCAGGCCAGTAAAACTTATTAGCTATGTAAATTTGGACTAGAGTCGTACATGAGTTTGGCATTCCACAATCAAACTACAACCCAATACTATAATTCAGTCACTATGAAGGCTTCTCACTCTTTCTGTCTCTTACAAGTCTTAGGCACAAATATAAATTAAGCAGTTCCTTTGTACCTCATTCTGCTTTTAATTTAGAGGACAACCCCACAATGGCTCTAGGATGGCATCAATTATCCTCAAATCAGGCCAGCTTTACAGTCTCAGGAGTGAATTGCTGGTATATAAGTTTTCTACTACTCACAGAATGACTCCTTTTGTGACAACCTGGGGGGCGGGGGAAGCTACTCTGGGCATATTTTAATCACGAATTCAAACTGGCCAGAAAAACAGTCAGAGAAAAGGAAGCGTGCCTATATGCCTCATAAGATTTATACAAACTTGTACAAAGAAAACAGAGATCACAGAAGAGCGTGACTTGACTTTTCACCTTTAAAGAAGCGGCACATAAGAAAGTCTGGTTGCGCAATGCCTCCTTGAGGCTCAGCTAAAAAGTAACCCTAGCTGGCCTGAGATCAGCAGCAACCACCACAGCATTTCTTCCTTCCTTCCTGGTTATACAATTCATCATGCTTAGTGAATAGCCCTGGAGATACCACTGCAGCAAAGAAAAAAAGGGATATCTTAAGTTAAATTTTTTTTAATGTTCATTTTATTTTTGAGAGAGAGAGAGCACAAGTGCGGCAGGGACAGAAAGAGAGGGGAACAAAGAATGCAAAGCAGGCTCTGTGCTGCCAGCATGAGCCCGATGTGGAGCTCCAACTCATGAACTGTGAGATCATGACCTGAACCGAAGTCAGACGCTCAACTGATGGAGCCCCCCAGGCACCCCATCTTAGGATTAAGATAATGATAAATAAGAAGCAGTGTGAGTGGTCTCATAGAAAGGATCTGCCAAGCACCTTCTCAACACAGTGTAACCTCTGAAACATTCCCTCAAGATAGGTTGTCCCCATTTTGCATTTAAAGATACTAAGGCTCAGAGAGTTTAGACTTCTGCCCAAATTTCATCTAAACGGCAGGTAATCAAACTGGACTTGAAATCCTCTATTTCTCAGCTCGAGATGATAACTCTGCTTGTACCACACCAGGATGCCCCTTTCAGAGACTAGGAAAATAATTATAGCATTTATATATATGGGAAATCCTGCCCTCTCTTTACTTTGTTTTCTAATTAGAACTGATTTTATTTGATCACCAGCCTTGAAAACAGTGTCCTTAATTCAATTGTGCCTAATACATTTCTGTTTAAATAACCATTTCAGCTACATTGTGGGTTATACAGGCTTTTCTGAACTAGCCTGAAAATCTATTCACCCTTTAATTGCTGAGGAAACTCATTTATCAATATATATTTAGAGTAATGTTCAATTATGTATTATGGATTTCCAATGTCAATGAGTAAATATTGCCAGAGTGTTATGTAAGTTGTTAAAATTTCTGCATTACATTTACATCCACCCATTTTTATTAGACTTCTAAGCGTTCTGAAGGGCTGTGGCTTATGATTAGGAAAGATGGGACAGAAAATAGAGATAGATGTAAATCTTAGCCTTGGTTATACCTGGGAATCATCTGGAGAGCTTTAAAATGTGCAATGTCTGGGTCTAATGCTTAGAGATTCTGATAGTATTTGAGTTGGAGCCTTGGTATCAGGTAACATGCTTCCTGGGTAATTCTGACAAACAGCCAAGACTGAGAAGGAATGAAAAAGAAACAACAATTAAAAATATCCCATAGGAAAAAAAATTACCCCATAGAATGTGCAACACCAAGAGTGAACCCTAATGTAAAGTATGGACTTAGGGTACTTAACCATGTGTCAGTGTAGGTTTATCAACTGTAGCAAACGCACCACTCTGGTTGGGGTTGGTCAAGGGAGAGGTAGGCATGTGTGGGAGCAGGAAGCATAAGGAAAATCCCTCTACCTTCCTCTCAGTGTTGTTGTGAGCCTGACTAAAATTGCTCTAAAGGAAAAGTCTTTAATTTTTAAAAGCATACAAAATAAATATTTTAAAAAGAAAAAAAAGGATTTCTTCTTTAATTTGGTTACAGGAAATGTAAATATATATGGAAATGTGACTAGGAAAATATTTAGTGAAGATAATAATTTAAACAGTTCTTTTAATTTTAAAGACTTTTACGTGACACATGAAAGCCCACTTTTAAAAAGTCGTGCCTACCATGTGCCTCAACATTTCTAAGTGCCTTACACCTGCTATTTCAAGTAGCCAAAATCATACCTAAAGAAAAATGTATGCTTGTAAGTGTATATATTGGCAAATAAGGAAAATTGAAAATAAACGGATCTAGCACAAAATTCAAGAAACCAAAAAATAACAAAGAAAATCAAAGAAAAAAGGTAAGAAAGGAAGGAAATAAGGAAGATAAAGGCAGAAACCAACCAAATGAAAAATTGAAAGAAAAAACGAATAGCAATTAAAAATAAAAGTCAAATATGCTCAGTTGATCTCAGGGTTGTGAGCCCCATGCTGGGTGTGGAGCCTTCTTAAAATAAATAAATATATATCTTAAAAAAAATAAAAAGTTGGGAAGAAATAAAATTACTAAATCTAACCTGGCAAACGATCACACCAAAAGAGATAATGTATAAGTAACATTATGGATAAAAAAGAGTCTATAGTTATAAATGAAGTAGGGAATAAAACCACTTGAAGAGCATACTAGTCAGTAAGCTTAAAAATCTATATAACTTTTTCAGAGTTTTCTAGAGAAACGCAAATTAAGATTCGTTCAAAAAGACTTAGGATACTTGACTAGTATAATAACCAGAAGAGAAAACAAAGAGGAAGCTAATCATTTACCTTGAATAAGAACATCTTTTTCAAAATGAGAGATGTGTTTTTTCCCTCTTTCTCTCGTAGGAAGGAGACTTCCTAGAAGTCCCACATCCTGCTTCTGCTGCCATCTCATTAGCCAGAATGTAGTCACATGGCCAAGGGGATTTGAAAAAGGTTGTCTTTACCTGGAAAAGGAAAAGGAAGGGTGGAACAGAAGGACAAAGTCATATTCAGAGGTGGCTAGAAATATCTCCTATTAAGCAGCAACAATCAACTAGATAAACTAATGGAAAAAAAGATATAGTTGTTTTTTTTTTTTAATGTTTATTTATTTTTGAGAGAGAGAGAGAGAGCACGAGCAGGCTAATGGCAGAGAGAGGAGGAGACACAGAGTCTGAAGCACGCTCCAGCCTCTGAGCTATGAGCACACAGCCTGATGTGGGGCTTGAACTCATGACCCATGAGACCAAGTCGGATGCTTAATCGACTGAGCCATCCAGGCGCCCCTATAGTTGGGGTTTTGTTAAGCCATAAAAATAACATGTCCAAGAAATGCATAATCATTATATAAGAAAAAAAAATCAAGTGTGTGTACCTCCAGGCCCAAGGAGACGCCAAAGGTGGCTTTTAGGGAAGGAGTGTGGAGGGAGCTAGGACAGGCTGACGAGGCGGTCACATGTATACATGAAGCCCTGCTGGGCCTTTAACATACTGAGACATATGGTATGTGGACCTCCCTTCACACTTGCTCCAGGCCTGTGTATGTGAAGGACTTATCTGGCCAGGGTGTCAGGATGGGGATTCCTCTTTTATATAATTAGGCCAAGGAAATCCTCATGGTTAAGGTGAATGAGTAGAGAGCTGAAGGACTAAAGAGCAGTCTGCATAGGTCACAAAATGAACATGTGAGGAAATCAAATTTAAAGTAATACAGAAGAAGAAGCAAACAACCCATCCAAACCCAAACCATATTTATGTTTATATCGACGAGAGCCATGTGAGAAATGGTTTTCGAACAACTTCTTTGGAAATCTTGACTATGTCATGATCTAGCTTGCTTCTCAAATGGAATTAAAAACTCCTAGCAACCTCTATGTCCCCTGTGCGATAAGAGCGAATCCGGCAGAGGCCTGAAATGGAATGGCTGAGTGTGCAATGAGGTCAGCAGCTATGTGTGGGGTGAGGGAGAGAGGGCTCCATGACGCTGGGCTATAATTGGCTGGTATAAATGCCAGCAAGCCAGCCTGGCAGCAGCAGGAGAGACTGAACCCAATAATCTGAGTAGCAGAAGTTACATTAGCGTTTCTGCCCATTAGTGACAAGCACATGGTTCTTTATAAAACAAACTTCCAGCACAACAGTGTTGGCATATTGAATGCGCTTATTCTTTCAAAAAGCACACCAGTTAGGAGCACCTGGGTGGATCAGTCTGTTGAGCATTTGTCTCGATTTCGATTTGGTGAGTAACATGTCACTGAGTTCACTGAGTTACAATATTGTCACATAGGTGTATGCAAGCATAGTTTAATTTTTAGAGTTTTAAGAAAATGCTTCATATGATCTCACAGTGGTGGGGTCGAGCCTTGTGTTGGGCTCTACACTGAGCATGAAGCCTGACTGGGATTCTCTCCCTCTCTCTCTCTCTCTCTCTCTGCCCCTCCCCACTCCTCCCAAAATAAATAAATATATATATATACATGTATATATGTATATATATACACACATATACATGTATATATGCACATATATGTGTACACTTATATAGATATATATATATACATATATATATACCAGTTAATTAAACTGTGATTACAATTATGTGGCAGAAGCTATGCAAAAAAAAAGAATGAAAACTGATACAAGTAAAATGATAATAATTGTCCTTGGTTGTCAGGGTAGTTTTTTCTACATTTCTGGGTTTTTTCTTGCATACTCATTAATTTCATATTTGAAAAAATATACTAAGACAATCAATTAAATTTTTAGGACTTATCAGCCTAGTAAGATGGATAATTAGGAGATAAATATATATCTTTTCAATTTTTTAAAAGTTTATTTATTTATTTTGAGAGAGACAGAGACAATGTGAGTGTGGGAAGGGCAGAGAGACAGGCAGAGAGAAAGAATCCCAAGCAGGCCCCACACTGCCAGCGTAGAATCCAGTGTGGGGTTCAAGCTTACAAAACCAAGAGATCATGACCTGAGCTGAAACCAACAGTCAGATGCTTCACCAACTGAGCCACCCAGGCACCCCAGGAGATAAATATATTCAAATCAGTTTAGTCTCAATAATCAATTAGAATGATGATTTGGAAAGAGATATCACAATATATATATTTCACCCAGGAATAAACTTAACAAGAAACATGCAAGATCTATGTTTGTAAAGAAAAAAAAATATATATATATATATTTTATATACATATATATATATATCCATATATATATCTCCATACATATTTATATATATATGGAAAGACATATCTTATTTCCGTGTGAGACACCAAATACTAAAAATGCTATAAGAATCCACATTAGTGAGGGGCGCCTGGGTGGCTCAGTCGGTTAAGCGTCCGACTTCAGCTCTGGTCACGATCTCGCGGTCCATGAGTTCGAGCCCTGTGTTGGGCTCTGAGATGATGGCTCAGAGCCTGGATCCTGCTTCCGATGCTGTGTCTCCCTCTCTCTCTGCCCCTCCCCCGTTCATGCTGTGTCTCTCTCTGTCTCAAAAATAAATAAACGTTAAAAAACAGGTTACTCTTTAAAAAAAGAATCCACATTAGTGGATTAAAATGCAATGTCAGTAAAAAAAAAAAAAAAAATCCAGTTAGGCTTCCTTAGAACCTGACATGGGAATTTTAAATTCATTGTAGAGAAGAAATTTGTTTAAAAAAGAAGGAAAACTAAAGAATAACAAAGAAAAGGGGGCACTTGGAAAAGGGGGCACCTGGGTGGCTCAGTCAGTTAAGCGTCTGACTTCGGCTCAGGTCATGATCTCGCAGTCTGTGAGTTCGAGCCCTGCGTCAAGCTCTGTGCTGACAGCTCAGAGCCTGGAGCCTGTTTCAGATTCTGTGTCTCCCTCTCTCTCTCTGACGCTCCCCATTCATGCTCTGTCTCTCTCTTTCTCAAAAATAAATAAACGTTAAAAAAAAAAAAAAGAATAACAAGGAAAGGGGTGCCTGGCTGGCTCAGTCAGTTAAGTGCTGACTTCGGCTCAGGTCATGATCTCATGGTCCATGGGTTCAAGCCCGTGTGGCGCTCTGTGCTGATAGCTCAGAGCCTGGAGACTGCTTCGGATTCTGTGTCTCCCTCTTTTTCTGCCCCTCCCCCACTCCCACTCTGTCTCTCTCTCTCTCTCTCAAAAATAAATAGACGTTAAAAAAAAAGAATAACAAGGAAAGAGTTGTCTTTCTAAAAGTCCTGTGAAACTGCAGAAATTAAAACAGAAAATAAAGAAAGAGGTGAAAGAAAGAGACCAGACTGTGTGAGATTGATTATCTGATACAGGGGGTATTTCAAATCCAGGAGTGACAATGGCCTGCTCCATGAATAGTGCTGAGAATCGTATTTCAGAAGCAAAAGAAACAAAGTAAGAGTTCTACTTCAAGAGTTCCTCTCTTCAATTCTGACTGGAAAGATTAATGAATGACAAGTCTATCCAAGTAGTAGATGGAAAAACCAGTGACTATTTTATAATCTTGGTATAAGTTACTTTCTTAAGTAAAAAGAAAATTCAGAAGTCATGAAAGAAAATTGTAGCATAAATTGTAGACAAAAGATTAATATAATATGGTAAGCAACCACATAACTAAAGGGGCAAATCCAAAGGAGAAATGCTTAAGTCCAATAAACATATGAAGAGACATTCATCTTCATACATTCATTATGACATGCAAACTAAAGCATCATTGGGATCCATGTCTCTTACATTAGATCGGTTAACATTGAAAAGATTGATAATACCCAGTAGTTGCAAGGTGGTGGGGAAGAGGTATTTCTATATGTGATGGTGGGAATGTAATTTGGTGAGCCTTGTGGGGGTCAATTTGAGAATAAATATTTAAATAACCCAGGAATTCCACATCTAGAAGTCCATTCTACAAAACAACCTAACCATGGGTATGTACACAAAGTGTTACCTATAAAACTGAAAAATTAGAATCAACTGAATGTGTTCCTGTAAAAAATTGGTGAGATGAATTCTGACTTAACCACGCTAGAGGATGCAATGCAGTGTCAATAAGGATGAAATAGTTCTGCGTGTACCAATGATGAAAAAAGCTTGTGACATGTCACTGAATTATGATATTGTCACACAGGTGTATGCAAGGATGGTTTAATTTGAGTTTTAAGAAAATTCTTCATGTTATGTAGGGAATGGAGGAGTTTTAAGTTTTATTTTATGACCTTTTATATTGTTTCAAATGTTATTAGTCTTATGTTTTTAAAACACTTGATTTAGCTGCAGTATTCAAAATTAAGTATCTATCAGTCCAGGTGTCCAACTTTCCTGCCCTCACTGGGGTCCAAGCTACTCATCACCTATCCTCGGTGTATAAAATTTCCCTGGAGGAGCACCTGAGTGGCTCGGTCAGTTAAGCCTCCAACTCTTGATTTTGTTTAGTTCATCATCTCTCATGAGATCAAACCCCAGAATTGGGCTCTACACTGACAGCACAGAGCCTGCTTGGGATTTTCTCTCTCCCTCTATGCTCCTCCCCTGCTTGCTTGCTCTCTCTCTCTCTCTCTCTCTCTCTCTCTCTCTCTCTCTCTCAAAAAAAAAATGAGCTTTAAAAAAAAGTTCCCTGGGGCATGCCTGGGTGGCTCAGTTGATTAAGCATCCAACTTCGGCTCAGGTCATGATCTCACAATTTGTGAGTTCAAGCCCCGCATCGGGCTCTGTGCTGATAGCTCAGAGCCTGGAGCCTGCTTCGGATTCTGTCTCCTTTTCTCTCTGCCCTCCCATGCTCATGTTCTGTCTCTCTCTGTCTCTCAATAATAAATAAATGTTTTTTTTTTAAAAAGTTTCCTGGACAGTGTGGAAGTTCCTCAAAAAATTAAAAATAGACCTACCCTATGACCCAGCAATAGCACTGCTAGGAATTTACCCAAGGGATACTGGAGTGCTGATGCATTGGGGCACTTGTACCCTAATGTTTATAGCAGCACTCTCAACAATAGCCAA